CTTGAGTCATGCCACATGGACTCAACTGAAAAAGAAAAAAAAAAGCCAATGACAAAGAGACTCATCGTAACTGTGACTTCTGCATTTTCACAAAACAGACAAGAGTAGTACCCATGCCTTCTAATAGACACCAACAGGAGGTGCAGCTTTAGTTGCTGTGTCATTGGAGGATGTGAAAATGTGTTTGTGATTGTTAAGCAGAACCAGTAACATCAAATGATCCGCTCGGTTGTTTTCCCTCCAAAAACTGCAACTGCAGGCAAAATATTTCGCCCGTTTGTTGTTTGTTTTTTCTGGCTTTGGGGAACTCTTTTGATTGTGCCCCCCCTTCCTGTTTTCTTCTTCGCAGAAATAATTTGCATATTAGCAAATTCTAAGAATTGCGGTGCCCATATTTGCACTGTTAACAGTATCTTTTAGTCACAGTGGCACAAATGAGTTCCAGGGGGGAGATAGGAGGGAGGAAGAGGAGGAGGAGGAGGGGAAGAGGGTGGCGTGTTAGTCAGAGCAGCTTCCTTTCAAACTCCTCAGCAAAGAATGTGAAGCCGACGCTCGAGACAGCCAGATCACATCTCCCTGGTAACCGCACAGTTGCCGGCCAGCGTGTTGCCAAACGCTGTGTCGCAAGGAGGGAGTTGAGCTGGCAAGGATGGGTTCGAGGAGGAATTCAGGACTTAACTGAGCATGAAAGCGGCCGCGTAGGGATCTGGGCACGATCGGTCAACCAACCAACCAACCAACCAACCCAATGACCGCTGGTGTCATTAGACCCCGGACAGGACACACCGTCCAGCCTGGGCTACTTCCTGCTTCCTTTTCAAAGGACGACCACAGGAAAAAAAATGGGCCGGACTGCGGGGGGAGGATAAGGCCCTTTGACAGGAAGTTAGGGAACGTTAAGACAGCGTCCAGTCAGTCATGGCCCCGTAAACCTCCGTCTCTAATTTCCCTCTGGTGGGCTGTCTGTTTATCTTTATTCAATTTACATAAGTGGCCAGATGGTCGCGCTGTTCAGGGACTTTAATTATTAATTTTTTAATCACTTCTCCATTGTTCAATGCTTTTGACACACGTCGGACATTTATGGACATTTATGTTTCATGCGACAATAAACACTATTCTATTCTATCCTCATGTGTAAATATATTTATATATGTATATATATATACAGAAGGAACTAGTAGTCACAGTAGCACAAATGAGTTCCGGGGGGAAGATAGGGGGGAGGAAGAGGAGGAGGAGGAGGGGAAGAGGGTGGCGTGTTAGTCAGAGCAGCTTCCTTTCAAACTCCTCAGCAAAGAATGTGAAGCCGACGCTCGAGACAGCCAGATCACATCTCCCTGGTAACCGCACAGTTGCCGGCCAGCGTGTTGCCAAACGCTGTGTCGCAAGGAGGGAGTTGAGCTGGCAAGGATGGGTTCGAGGAGGAATTCAGGACTTAACTGAGCATGAAAGCGGCCGCGTAGGGATCTGGGCACGATCGGTCAACCAACCAACCAACCCAATGACCGCTGGTGTCATTAGACCCCGGACAGGACACACCGTCCAGCCTGGGCTACTTCCTGCTTCCTTTTCAAAGGACGACCACAGGAAAAAAAATGGGCCGGACTGCGGGGGGAGGATAAGGCCCTTCGACAGGAAGTTAGGGAACGTTAAGACAGCGTCCAGTCAGTCATGGCCCCGTAAACCTCCGTCTCTAATTTCCCTCTGGTGGGCTGTCTGTTTATCTTTATTCAATTTACATAAGTGGCCAGATGGTCGCGCTGTTCAGGGACTTTAATTATTAATTTTTTAATCACTTCTCCATTGTTCAATGCTTTTGACACACGTCGGACATTTATGGACATTTATGTTTCATGCGACAATAAACACTATTCTATTCTATCCTCATGTGTAAATATATTTATATATGTATATATATATACATATGCAAGTACACATATTTTACATCAAATATTGATATATTTATAGCTGTGTATTTATATTTTTATTCCACACACAGGCATATATATTTATATATATTTGTACATATATATATGTGTGTTTGTGTTTCGTTGGTCAAAAACATCGATCGCAAACCGGTGTGTGTTTGTGTTTCATTGGTCAAAAACATTGATCGCACACCATGTCGACTTATGTATCTCAGTCTGTTGTATGGGATCAGGATTTCTGACTTATGTTACCTCGAGAGAGAGAGAGAGAGAGAGAGAGCAGCTGAAATGAACAAGTGAAACCACAATATATTTTAAAATATATTCCAGGAGCAGCAGCTTCCCCTTCACACTGACCTCTGTTCTCTGCAGCTTTTCTTATAAGTCAGTGACATCAGCGTCAGACGTGACGACTAAACCTCAACACGCCAAGGCGCCGTGCACGGCTACCATCCCTCACCTGGGGTTAACTTGACCTCTGACCTGTGATGGTTCCGTCTCCGACGGCCTTCTACTTAAAAGCATTCTGACAGTGAAGTGTTGACTTTCACAGCACAAATGGATCCTGGAGATGGATGTTTCTCAGAGGAAAAGCACACGAGCACGACACATACTTCACCCCCCCCCACCCTCTCTCTCTCTCCCTCCCTCTCTCTCTCTCTCTGTCTTAGCGACGATGAAGAAACAGTCTGCATGCATCATCATTTCTGGCAGTTTGGGTGGAGAGATCAGTGACCGCAGATGTTTTGATTGTCACGCTCTCTAATCCCCCCGTGTCATGTGGGATCTTGCAATTGGTCGCAATCCTTTGACTGTAGGCAGAAGTTGTCGGCCTGTTGGAAGACAGGGTTTTGAAGCATTCTTGAAGGTTGGCAAGGGTTTGAAAGGCAGTGCTGGTCCATTGATTTTTTTTTTTTTTTTTGTTCTCTTCTACAAAGCAAAGATGATTAAGTCAGCGCCGGTCTTGGAGGAGACATGTATTATGTATCTACAATAATTAATGCCGATGTGGAGTGAGTTTCTTCTCCCCGGTCGACTCTGTGGTCTGGTCTACATCTGAATCTTTTGAAGCCCGTTCATGTTTTTGTCTGGATATTTAATTAAGAGCACAGACAGAGTGGATTATGGGTGAGTCTTGGGTGGAGTTGCCAGCTGCTCCCAGCACGAGTGCCAAAAAAAGGTCAGTGTTTCTGCCCAGCGTGGTGTTGATGCGCTCGCCATCCTAATCAGGACGCCTCCCAACAACAACCTCCTGATAATAAAGCTGCTCTGAACGGGGAGAGACGAGGGCCGGTTCTTGGTGTGTGAGAAAGAAAAAAAAGTAGTTTGTGAAGAACTGAATTCACTTCTCAGGATGTGTAACGTGTGACTTGGTTAGCACCACAGGTGTTAAATGATTAACAGCAGACAGGAGTGGCTTCGTTAGCAACAGGGTTCAACGACCACGGCTTCAGGAAGACGGTGTGACAGGGTTCAACGACCACGGCTTCAGAAAAACCTGTTGGCATAGCTCCAGAACCGTAACTAGTTTGAGTCAAAGTGACATGCAAAACCTGGGTGCACTAAACCAACCAGACCACTATGGCAGCAGTGATGAGTTCACAGGGTTAGCGTGGTTTTTTTACCGCTTACCTCACTCTTGTACTTCCTGGTATTTTCCCTCCACAAGGCCTCGCAAATATTCTACGTTTCTTCAATAAAACATTAACATTCTACAAGACTTTGGTTTTTTTTTTTTTTCATATGAACCCACTCAGGTCAGGAGAACACTGCAGGTTGATCAAAGAGCTGTGTCCGTGTAAAAAAAAAAAAAAACCCCTGCAGCAACAAACGGCTGCTGTCATAACTGGGGTGAGGAGGGGTGAGGAGGGGGGAGGCCAAGGACGGCTTAATTATACAGTGAATTTTTAATCAGCCTGCTGTTGTCGTTTTGAATACATTAGTGTGTGTGTGTGTGTGTTGTAACCCCCCCCTGCCCCCCCGCCCGCTCTTATCTGTGATTATCATCTATTATGAGGGAAATACGGCTGAGGATTTGTTCAGTCCACTGGGCTGATGGGAAAAAAAAGTGTCTCTGTTTAGACCTGGCTCCTTATTTTGATGCAGGTTTGTTCTTCCCTGTTGTCAACACTAACGGAGTGTGTGTGTGTGTGTGTGTTTATCATCTTCTCCCTTCAGCAGAGGATGTGGGAACAGGTTGAGTTTTGGACCGTGAGTGACTGTGTTTGTGTTTGTGTGTTTCCAAAGTTTTTAGATTTTTTTTTTACGAAAAACTTAGTGAAATATAAGCTAAAAGAAAACTATGATCACGACTTTAAATAACAGACAATAACATGAACGTAGTTAGCATAGAATTAGTTACAGAGTTATCCAAACATTACTGTATAAAACCGAGGCAAACGATAGATATAATGTAGTTATAAATTAATTAAAAAAGTTAATTTCCTCGGCAAATACAGTGTTTTTCTAGTAGAATAGAAGCTTTACTTTGAACAACAGTGTTGAATTTAATTTGATTTTTATCATCAACAGAAGGACAGGGTCACTCGGAGAGATTAAAATAATAATCCTGAGTCTGTGTGTGCAGTGTCTCTCTGTTTGGACTTTTAATTTTTGTGAATTCTCCTGTGTTTTTTTTTTTTGTTTGTTTTTTTTTGACTGAGAGGAAGTGGGACAGATAACTCCGACTGGCTCAACACAGTCGACACAGAGAATATTTCAATGTTCTCACTGTGAGCCTTGAGCTCAATAAAACCGGATGAAGCCTCTATTTGTTTCCCTAATGGGAAACGCAGAGATTTACTCGCTGCAGTCAACAGTGTTGAAATAATGATTTATGCCACATTCAGGTCAATGCACTGCATTCTGGGGAATCTGTGTGCATTAGTGCTACGTCGTCTGTCTATGTTTTGGATCACACGGATGTAGAAATGTTCACTGAAAGGCCTTTAATTTAAACCTTTTTTTCTGGTGCAGAGATCATTTTAAAGGACAGAAAACAAAGTAAATATATACAGTACATATATATGTTTTTGTAAACTCTCTTTTTTTTCCACTTTTCTCCCTCAGGCGCTGGACCAAGATCGAACTTCTCTGCAGAAGGTGAAAAAATCAGTGAAGGCCATCTACAGTTCAGGACAAGGTGAAATATCCTGTTTCTAAATTCACAGTGACTTAAATGACTTTTGGTGGTTGGTTGGGTTTATATTCACTTTTGTTTCCAAAAGAAACTCCCAGAAAACTCCGAGGATTTCTCCAATATCTTTTATTAAATTGTGGGGAGTTTTTCTTTTTTCTCCATCTGGAGAACTGCCTTCCATTGTGGAGATTTTTTCTCTCTTCTGCGTCCAGTCCAGCCCATAAATCACCACCTTATTTGTTTCTTCTCCTTGGCTTTGACTCAGTAATTTTCTGCGTACTGAGTACAGCCTCCTCCCTGGAAATCAACAGTTTTGGAAAAAAAAAAAAAAGGAGTTTGTTTGTTTGTTTCCTGAAAAAAAAAGATTTACTTAAGTCTTAGTGCAACCTGTTGGATCAGTAAACACAAAAACCAAGAAGTCTGAAATGAGCTGCGACAGCTCACGGTCTGTAATTGTGTTAAAATGAAAAGAATAGTTTCTGGGAACAGCCATGTTTGTAGAAAATATATGTGTATTATATAGTGTATATATATATACAGTGATCCCTTGCTATAACGCGGTTTACTTTT